TTAGGGTGCGGCAATGCTGAAAGTGAAATTAAAATATGAAAATCTATTTCTTCTCAAGAAAGCCAATGAATTGCATGAATGAACCAGCAGCACCCTTTCAATACGATGCATCTCTTCAGACATGTCTCTTCTAGTGAAGCTAGTGCTAGTATGTCTATGGTGCCAGTAAACACGACCCTACAATGAAAGGTCCTATTGCACAATGATCGAGCATTCTTTGCCCTCTCATCTCTGAGAAACTATGTAGATAATGGGTTGAAATCCATAAACCTCAAAGTACAGATTAGCCGGGTCCATCCAGCAAATTTCCGGCGAGGAATTGATGGCTGGAAACATAGCTTCTGCGATATCCACAAAGCTCAATTATAGCCTATACTATTGGGTCTAATGCACTAAATTTTGACAGAGAAATAATTGGTGGGTCAAAAGATATATAGTTTCTACAAAAACTTTGAATAGAGAATTTTGGAGTTTTTTAGTCCTAAATCCAAAGAGAACCACAGTTAGGAATAAGAATTCAAAATAGGAAATTTATAATCATAATACAATAGAGATGATCTCAATGAGGATTCGAGCCGTGTCTGAGTTTACGTTTCTACAGAAGTTGAAGAGCATAGCAGCCGAAAGTAGTTGAATTTGGGAGGCAAAAGAGTAGAAGAGCGTTTACAAGCTCTAGAACTTCTACCGATTATTGACCCCAAGAGACTATAAACAGCCAATGATTTCTCGAATCATAAACCTCTCCAAAAACAACCATTAATGGGTTGAATTGAAAATTCAGCTTCATAATATATGGCTTGGAACCATAGATGAAGCAACAAAATCTGATTTTTTAACAAATAAATAAGCACCAGATTATCCATCTGTAAGCCATTTTTAATTTTCAAATTTACAAGATAAATGCAAGTTTCTGCATCCATAATATTGCCAAGCATTTCATCAGAAGTAAAGTTATCCTGTCGGTTCTTTATAAAGAATGAATAGGGGAAATCCCAAACAACGGTTGCAAGTGCCCTAGAGCAACTTAAAGCAACAAAAAGGCAAGTCATACATAAATAATTGAATCCTCAACTTGAATGCAGCAACTATATTTGAAGCCAGCTTTAAAAAATAAAGACCCAGAGTTTTAACCAATGTTATCATCAATTTGTGTTCTCAATTTGACATAGTGTTCTAAAAGATGTAACACTAAACATGTCCTAGTCTAAGTTTCCCTCAGAGAAGTGTTGTAACTGTTACGTCAGTACTGACAAAAAAGGAAAAAGAAATGTAAATTGATGAGGTAGCAGCTATTTTTTTACTTAGATTTGGTGGCGCATTAAAGTAGTATGTTATGATCATGTCAGTTAGTAGATGGAACATGAGGCAATTCAGTGTCTTAAGTAAGAAGAGACAAGTTGCAATCACGTACAATGTAGTTTGCTTTCAAGTATTACAAAGAAATAGAATATTGTTAAAATTCTACCAAGACGTAAGCTTACCTTTTTTGCATCTTAACGGGGTACACCTTCACGCAGCCCCACTATTTCCTCACCGAATTCGGGCTGCAGCATACAGTATTATGATATCATAGGAGTTTAAAAAAAACAAAAGGATAAAACAGCTCATAGCCACAAGTCCCAGCTTTGAAGAACTTACAGGACAATTTGGACTATTATGAAGAATATTGGTTTATACAAGCGTGAAGGAATCTGGGCACTTAGTGATACATGTTTGATCCTATACATAGATTTTTTCACCTGCATGTATGGCCAAATGGAGAAGTTATAAGCATTATGGTGTTGAGAATAACATAGACCAGACTTCAACTAGCATATAGCACTAGAAAATAAATAACAAATCAAGTTGTCAATTTGAATGATATCTACTTTCATAACTCAATACAAGAATCAACAAATACTTAAATTATAGGCAAGAATAATAAATTAAGAACAAAACCTCATAATGGAATAACTGAATAAATCCCTTGAATCAGAAAGAAAATCCTTAGCCACTCATGGACGGAAACATGGCGGCTTTATTCTCCATGAAAATTCAAGAAAAATTGGAAGAAATAAAAGGTTTGAGGTGCCACTACAACAAAAATGGGCTATTAATACCTTTATAGTGGGACACTTTTTCTAAAATGTGTCTCATTATATGTGTATTAGGACATTTGCTAAAAAGTGTCTTATTAAAAATGAAAAAGTGTGTCCATATTATGAAACACTATCATAAGCGTACTATATGGGGTTGCTTGTGAACTATTACCCTACTGAATGGGTCATTTTAAAGTGTTTTAATAAGTGACAATCTAATAATACACTTTCAAATGTTTTATGACTTATTGTGACTCATTATAGGAGACACTATTTAGTAGTGTCCCACACAATGTGAATCACATGTATCTTATTACACCACTTATTGAGACACAAAAAAGCGTCTAACATACTTATTTTTGTTGTAGTGTGCTAGCCTTTGGCCTATGCACGGCTGCCCACAAAAATAAAATAAAAGTCTATTTATAAAAAGAACTTTAGGTCAGCCGCTGAAAAGAAAAAAAAAATCCACGATTTGCAATTTTGGTCCTTCAAGTTTGTAGTATTTTCACTTTTGTCCCAAATTTTTTCAATTTTGCATTGAATTCCCTAATCGTGCAAAATCATCTAAAACAGCTCCAATCTATTATTTCCAGCTCCTAACAAAAAATAATAACAAAACTAATGAATTAAACCCATCCGAGTCCATAAACTAGTAAAATAAGAACAATTAAAACACAATTTATGGACTCTATCACATAGGTTATTTTTACACATCTCAATTTGAAGCTTTAAATCCCCTAATCTCATTTATTCTAGCTACTAAGATGTAGGATAACCGTTTTTCCTTAGATATGACAAATTCCTTTGATCTTATCAGGCCAGACATCTACAACTAATCATACTTAGTAATTACTTGTCAGCAACAACATTATCCTAATTTGTCAGAAATTTATTCAAGTGTTAACTTACCCCATTATCCCTAAATATAGACCAATATTTTGCTCTTTTTTAATCACATTATTATAAACCAGTCAAAATTTTCATCATAACGGCACTAGTTGAGTCTTTTTGGGATTATAAATGTTGGTTATATACATTTTTTAAGATATTTTACATTCAATATCCAAAATCACTTTCCTGATTAATTAAATTGATACTTTATTGTAGTAAAAAGACTTTTGATACTTGTCAGTCATAATGACATGCAAGCCATAACAGTTTACAAAAATGTTGGGTGAATATATTCTTAAATAAATACTAGAGAAATCTTCCTCAACTTGCACCTCTCCTATTTGATGCCGTCTCTTTAATTTTGTCTTCTGTTGTTGAACGTTTAACCATGATACCAAGAAAGAAAGAAAAAAAAAAAAAAAAGACGATTCTTTGAACAAACAGATGAAAAATTGGTCAATCATTACGGAGTGGACCGAAATAATGACAGTACATTTTTCCGTGGCAAACAACGGTGGTTGAGTTCATCGGGTTAAGATTTTCTGTAGCTAGGAACTGAAGAGAGCTAATGTCACATTGACAAATCGAATGCCGGAGAAGGAGAAACAACGGTGGCCAGGGCTAATGGAAAGATGGATGTGAGATTGGTGGAGTTGAGCCCAGTCATGCTTTCAAGGGTGGCCATGATGAAAATTGAAGAATGGTTGAAGAGATTTGGACAAAGTTGTTCGGTCTAATATATAGTATAATGGACGGAATTGTTGTGTTAGTTGGCAAACAGAAAACACATAAGTGAATGATAATATATGTTCAATTGCATTATACTACCTTCATTTTTTTTTTTGACACATTAGAATATGCATAACCATTATTTAAGAATAATGATTGAGATTTTAATTTTTTGTAATTACATATATACATATATATATATATATATATATTTGTCTATAATTAAAGGTATTTGAACTATAAAAAAATAATTGTCATTAATATATGTCATTGATCTTTGTCTGGATGAACAGATTTGGACCAAGTTGTGATGCTTGTAATTTTCGTCATTTCTTTGTATCTTTTCAAAATCCATATGTAAAATTTCATTTGTAAAAGCCATTAGAAAATGGCAAGGCAAATTACCTTTTTCTGAAGACCATAAGTACAACATAAAACAATTAGATAAAAATATCTTTTACCTTGATCCAGTTAAATCAAGTAGTGAAAATGATGAGAATCATGTAACCTTCCATGGAGGTTCTCCTAGTGAGGGGAATGAGTTAGTCCTTCATTCTAGATTTGGAATGCCAAGTTTACTTTGCAGGCCAATCAAGAAAGAAAGGATGGATCTTGACTACCTATGTGATAGGGAGTTGGTTCAAGAGAGCTATGATCAAGGTAATGAGAATGTCATTAACTTTGTGGTGCAAACCAAAGGAGATGAAGACCTCATGGAAATAAGTGCTGAAGAGTATCAAGAAAGTTTGACTCTGTGTGCTCCATGAAGATTATTGATCAAGCTAGTAAGAAGAGTCATTTAGGTTCTTAAGTGGACGGCCTATTTGATCAAAATGTTCAAGATTGAGTCCATTGCTACACAATTGGATATGTTGCAAACTATCTTAATTGTTTCAAGTGTTTTTCCAATCTTTTGGAGTCAATAAAGAGAATTCTACAAGTTTTGGAGTAAATTGGAAGTTTCTACAACTTAAGGGGCGCAAGACCAATATTTCACTTTTGCAAGGGCGTTCAAGACATTTTACTTCAATAATTTGGAGCTGAATTTCGAGATTAGAGTCATTGTCTAAGTCTAGGAGTTATTTTCGAATTTTATCTAGTTAAATAAGTCATGTGGACTGAATTAAGCTAGAGTATTTTGATTAGGAGTCTTAGATTCCTTCTAGATATTATCCTACTTAAGGATAAGTGATTTAAATAAGGTTTCCTAGATTTTAGATAGAGTCAAAGAGATCAAGTACTCTTCTACTTTTACTCCTTGTGAGATAAGATTAGAGAGTCTGATTGGTCTTCTTTTAGAGGTCTTGGCGAAAAATTCAAGCCTATATATAGGAGGCTTGGCCGAATTTTAGAAGCACCCTTGAGTGGTCATTTTGTTGTCTCTTTTGAGAGTTTTTCCTGTGAGGAATTTTTGTTAAATGGAGTGTCCATTTTTCGTGTCAAGAATGTTTAAACCAAGAGGGTTTTCATCTTGTCTTGGATCTTTTGATCTTGCGAAACCATTCTTTTCAAGTATGCTTCTTGATAGAATTGTTTTAAAACTAAACTTCTTATTTTCATACTACTTCTAGTAGTTCGATTGATGAGCCTTTTCTTTGGCTTGGTGTTCGAATTTCATGATGAGTGTGTTCATGAGATCCATTGTGGGGTTTGTCCTACTTTTGTTGGATGAGTTATGCTTTGGCATAAGCATTTTGAGATAGTGTATGTGTTGCATATCTTTGGTTGGTTATGAAGATTACTAATCAATAGTATTCCTTCATAGTTGGGCATTGTTTGCTCCTACCTTTCTTGAGTCTCTTGATTAATGACTGATCGAGTATATTGAATGGTGTCCTTGCTATTCTTAGCGTGGGTTGTTGTTTAATTCGAATCTTTCATGGATAATGTGTTCTTTGCTTGGTTTGAGTTAAGAGATAGAATCACTTAGATAAACGATCGTCTTACTGTGCATTTTCCGCACTGTTTTGAGTTTCACGGGATAGACAAAATTATCTTCGTACTTTCTTGTTGATGGTTGCATTAACGAAATTTGCTTCGTCTACGAGATTGCTATCAGAAAAATATTTGTTACTTCCTCCGTCCCAAAATTATTTTTCAATTTAGATTTTCATTTTTAATTCAATTTGAATTGGAAATAAAAATTCAAATTGGACAATTATTTTGGGACATAGGTATAACAGTGAATAATTTATTTGAATAAACTGTAACCTTGTCCCCTGGCAATTCCTTTGAATTATCTTTTAATTGGTCTTCGTTTTTCTATTAAATTCTTCAAGACTTAGAGTTTTATCATTTTGTCCAGAAGTATATAGAATTTTTTTGATTTTATATATAATCATTAACAAAAAATATTATTATCTCAAACTTTAAATATCAGAATCATGTATTGGCATCAAATTTTTATTATTCATACGACAATGGTTATTCATTTTGTATAGAGTTTATGATAATGGCAAAACAGTGGGGGAAACCCCTAATTATAATTTCTCCTCAATAATTTTAATTTTTTTTAAATGCACAGCTATTTTATGCATTTTATCATCATCAGTTATGACAATAAAAAAAAACTTAATTTAAATTTCATTATTTATTGTGTCCGCGTCAGCGAGCTTCGAATACCTAGTTAATTAAAAGTACATATAGATAAGGGTAAAACCGAAAACTCTTCATTGGATGTTGTACTAAAAAAATGATAAATAAAAAATATTTTTAATTTACCCTAATACGACAGATAAAAAATAGGGCAAATTATCTGGTACACCCGGGGGTACCGTGTACCTCCTACGCGTATACTTTACTTTCTTATAATAGCGTGAGTTTGCTAGATAATTCATCCTTCTTTTTCTTTTTTTTTTTTAAACGCGGCATATATAAATTAATGAATTCATTCAAATTGGATATTGGATAACCAGTGTGTACACTATGGATAACCAGCTACACACTATGGACAACCAGTGTTCACCATGTGGATAACCAGTGTTGGCACTATGGATAACCAGTTACACACAATTGGATAACCATTATTAACTTGTTGGATAACCAGTATGGACATAGTGGATAACCAGTGTGCACATTATGGATAACCAGTTACACACAGCTGGATAACCAGTTGCCAAATTTCATATTTTTCCTTTTATATTTTTCTTGGATATCCTTGTCCGTATTTTTTACACTGATTATCCAGATGTCCCTCACTCATTTTTTGTTCTCCATCATTTGGCAAACTTCCCCTCATTCAATTAAATACTATTTATGAAATTTGCCATGTTCGGCATGGAGGCAGCACAGCCGCGGGCACCGGCGCAGCCGGATCGTTTAGTTTATCACGGGGGGATTTATACAAGTAATTTGTGTCCCCTCTTAACGCAATAACACACTCTCCTTACACACACACTCTCCTTGCACACATACAAAAAAAAGGATTACCTTAGCTACATTGGCGTGTTCGGCGGGGCGGCGCAGCCAGGGCAGGTTGGTGACCTGCGATTCCGGTAGCCACGGCAGTCATTTAGTTTATCATGGGGGGCGAAGCCCCCCAATGAACATGCCGTTTGGATAGCCATTTTCCTATGGATATTTTCTTTTGTTATGTCTTTTTGAAGCCCTCTTTGAATCCTTGTTTTGTTATATCCACATGATGGATAGGCATTGATTACATATGGATAAGCAATATTGAGGTTTTGGATAACAAGTATAAACTCATGGATAATCAGGTTAAAGACTGTACTTGTATTTTTTTAGATGGATAATCAGAATAAAACATTCGGATAATCAGGTGTAACAAATTGGATAACTAGTACAAAGATCCTGGATAACCATTACAAAAGGTTGGATATTACTGCACATTGACTAGATAACCAGTACAAAAGTCTTGGATAATCAATACAGAGCACTGGATAATCAGCAAAGAAATATTGGATAAGCAGGATAACATTATAGGATAAGCAGTTTAATAAAGAAGTAGAAAGACCAACCGTAAAAATGTTAAGCGCGTGTAACGCGTGTGTTTGGTGAGGGTATACGATATACCCCGGTGCACTGGATACGGACTCAAGAATAGAAGTACTATATGTTATTTCGTTTTCGTTTTTGGATTTGGTTATGGACCATTTTTTCACGGTTTGGGTTTGACTCATGCATTATGTATGGGAGAAAGAAAGAGAGAGAAAGAGAGAAGACATGTTTAGGCTTAAGAGATTAAGAGTTACGAGATTATAGGTTATCCCAAGCGATTATTGTAATTTAATAGGTACCTGTTAATCTGTGTAGTTGATTTTTTAAATCAAGTTGACCACGAAATTGATTTCAAAGGATACGCCTCTACAGTCCAGTCTGGTAACATTAGTCCGTCATAGACTTCCCACAAATACATTACCAATATTAGTACAGGTACGTAAAAAACTGTTGTCTTTTGATATAAAACTCTCGATCCCAATAATTTGGCCGTTCAAAATAGATTTAATCGTTAAGTATCGATTAATTCCTTGTTATCAACTGGTTCTTGAGCTTTAATTGCATGTAATTCCCCTATTAAATATTAAATGTATTTTAGTTTTTTAATAGTCAAGAAAAAAAAATTTGTGTACATTTTCTTTTATAGTTTTCTTTAATTTGGGGAAGGGAGATCATGTGAACGTTCTAGGATTCAATTCTGGGTTTTAGCACAGAAGTGTGTTTTCTTTTTGGATAAGTTTTTTAACAGTTCCCCGCTCCAAAACCATACGTATTTATACAGTGTTTAGTCAACAACAATAAAGACCAAACTACTACTATATCTATCCATATTGAAATTTTTTTTTTTTTTGTCTAATGCTATACGAATAAGAAAGTTTATATACCAGCAAAACTATTATTTTTAATTTAACTTTTTTTTGGTACGAAAATTTCTTCTTTTCTAGTTCCATATGATGGAAAGTTCAAGCACCACCCTCTATTATAATCACAATGAATATAGGATCTTTAGGATCGGAATCCGGCTCTCAGGGTCTAGAACTTTTTATTAACTTTTTGCGCAAGCATTTAAGACCCTTTCCAAACAGATTTTAGGAAACCAACTCTCCCACACGTCTATATATTGTGCATAAGTCGAAGCCCTACGTATTACTAGCCTAACGTTAAATTACTTTAAGGAAATACGTTAGAGCCAGGATATTAACCTAGCTAGGGCTCATCACCTTCGAGAGTACTTTGTGAAAGGAAGTAATTAATTTACCTGCAGAGGAGAGACGATGGCTTTGGCGTTTGGGAAGCGATTTCAACCAACAGATGAAGAATTGATCGGCCACTTTTTGAGAAACACCATCCTTAGACAGCCTTTATCGCCATCGGAATCCAGGGTTGTGATATACAAGGAGATGTACGGAAAAGAAGCAACTCCCTGGGAGTTGTTCCATTATGAAGTCGATGAAAATAACCAGTTGCTTCTTCCTTGGGTAACCAACGTCGATCCTTTGGGGAAAATCGAGGCAGATGTTAGAGTCCTGTACGTGTTCACCAAACTCAGCAAAGTTGGAAAGACAGAAAAATCGTCCAATAAGATGAAAAATCGGGTGGCCGGATGCGGATCCTGGCACGGAAACAAGACGAAGGAGGCCGTGTGTGGGAGCGACGGGACAGTGATAGGGTACAAGAGGTATTTCACGTTCAGATCGACACCGAATCGAGCGACGGTGGGGCAGTGGAACATGGTGGAATATAACATGGAGGGCGCGGAGGTGGAGGATTTTGTGCTATGTAGGATTAGGAGGAACGACTCCAAAGCTTCCATTGGAGGCAGGCTTGTTTCTACTTCCGCAAGTTCCGCGACTTCAATGGTGGGCGAAGCTTCGACACATTTATCAGCGAAGACGAAGAAGAAGAGGAAAACAGAGAAATTCACCAAGAACAGTAGTAGTACTAGTGAGGATCATGGAATTTCAAAAGTTGTGGCGGCGCAAGAACCGTCATGGGCTGCCTCAGTAGTTGATAATACTATGAATAACAGTGTGTTTTCATCGTGGGGAGACCAATTTCAGCAACAACAACAATATCTTCAACCAGTGATGATGATGCCCGCGGGAGTGGTCCATAATCAAGAACCTGTAAATGGCGGAACTGAAATCAACACGTTTCTGTCGTCTGGACAGACTCATCATCAGCCGGCAGCCGGGTTGTCGGGAGAAACAATGGATCAATTATATGAACCTCAACAAGAACAATATCTTCAACAATTGGGGAGAATTGTGTCGTCGGAGGAGAGTATGCCACCTCTTGTGGATGCTGAAGAAAATGTCTTCAATGATAAAGAGTTTTTGGATATTGGAGACGACTTCTTTGATGTGGAGGGGATCATCAAGTACCTTAATTCAAATACGACAGATGATAATGTGGCAGACCAAGATCCAAAACATCATCACTTGTTCCATGATCCCACCAAGACCTTGTCCAACTACCAGCTACCATCACCCGCCAACAACCACGTCGAAGACACATTGAAGCTGAAGCCGCCTCCGCCTCCTCCTAGTCGACGTTGGAGTAAATATGATGCTGATTTTGGATTTTTGTTGGCCAAAAAGAAATAGGAATTCTGACTCACGATGAAGACATTCCTATTTGTGATTGTACGTAAGATGATGATTTTGTAATATTCAATATGATGATGACTAATAATTACCAGCTAGCTACTACATGTTACATGTATATATGTAGCTGTTTCGACAAACACAGTAGTTCGTCGGCTTAGTGAAAAATGGACTCACACGTCACATTATTGTAACTCTTAATAAATACTTAATAGTTACTATCTGTAGAGTTGAAGAATAAAGGAAAAACAAAAAGTAACTATTAAGGGCTGAATGTGTGCAATACAGGCATCACAGTATAAAATTGATCAACTAACATCAATCCTCAACTCAAATTTCTTGGTATGATGCCGAATCCTACTTTGTTCTTGAGCTTAATAATCACTCAATTTCATTCTTCTACTTTGGGTTTCTTTTTATCGTAATTAAATCAATCAGTTTGTAATATTTTTAGTACAAATCTGGAAATTCAATATGGACTTTTATCTTTTGGGAGAGGGAGTATTACAAAACGTGCAGCATTTTTTTAGACAGAGTAGTATTATTCATTTTCTCTCATCTTGTAAAAGTTTTCACTTAGTTTTAATAATATGGATAAGCAATTTCCAAACATTTTGAATGTGTGGAGACTTCAATTTAATTTGGATACTTTTGTAATAGCTTAAGCGTTCTACTCAGTCTAATGTAAAAGTTTTCACCTATAGTTTTAATAAACTGGATAAGCAGTCTCCACACATTTTGCATAAAACCCTAATACTCAAAAAAAATGAATTTTAAAAAAACAATATAATGCTTGTACTAGCAGTCTCCACACATTTGGTAACAGCTTGGTTCTACTTTCATGAAGTGTTATCGAATTTCACTTTGTTTCTTTCAACCTCAGAATCACTCAATTCGGTTCTTTGACCTTCGATTTCCAATTTTATAAGATCAATTAGTCAATTTCGTTAGGTTTCATGAGTGGATCCGTTAGTGCACTTGTGCTGCGCATGACGAACCCTAAGGGCATTTTTTATGTTCACACGTATCTTTTTTTTTCATTATGCAACAACCTTTCTTTCATTAATTCGTTATATTCAAGAATGCAACAACTTTTTCTCACGTGTTGAAGAGTCGTTATTGACAGTTTGTTTGATGTAATTAACTTTAGCACTTGCTACTTGGTCTACAAATAAGGGTCCATTTACATATACTAAAAAATGAAAACCGATCGCTAAACAGGACTTCTATTTGTAGTGAGCGAGTATGCAATTAATTTTCAGTTGATTTAAATTTTAATCTTTACCAAAGGCATTAATTGTCCGCATAATGCACAGTTTTTTAAAACTTATAACGCATATACATATCTTATGCCATGACAAAGAGCTTTGCCAATTTAAATAGTAATATTGTTAAGTTCAACGAAGTCAACTATTTTGATAGAGTAAAAGGACGATTAAAGTATGACATGTGAGAGACTGAGAGTCGTGTACGTGTTCACCAAACTCAGCAACGTTGTAAAGACGGCAAAATCGTTGAATAAGATGAAGGATCAGGTGGCAGGATGCGGAATCTGGCACGGAAACAAGGCGAAGGAGGCCCCGTATGGGAGCGACGGGAGTTTGATAAGGTACAAGAGGTGTTTCACGTTCAGATCGCCACCAAATCAAGCGACAGTGGGAAATATGGTGGAGTATAACATGGAGGGCGCCGAGGATGAGGAGAATTTTGTGTTACGTACAATATATAGGGTATATATAGACAATAGGAAACCTTATACATAAGGCTATAACGACCGTAAATATATATATATATATATATATATATTACAATACGCTCCCACAAATTGAGATCAGCAGTAGACACAGAATGTACCGAAACAAACTTTCGCCGCACATGATCTCGAATAAATTGAAAATTCACCTCAATATGTCTGGTACGGGCATCAAACATGGGATTAGCTGCAAGAGAAATGGCACTACTGTTGTCACACCAAACAGAGGGAGGACAACGTAATGAAACACCCAACTCAGACAACAGATGACACACCTAATGCAGCTCAACACAGACATTAGCAATCGCACGAAACTCAGCCTCAGTCGATGAACGGGCCACAGTGGGCTGCTTCCGAGATGCCCAGGCAATAAGATTAGGTCCCTAATAAAGGAGAAATGCAGTTGTAGACCGACGATCATCTGGGCAACCAGCCAATCAGCATCACTGAAGACAGTAAGAGTGCCAAAATCAGTGGGACAAGGAACCAAACATGAAGCCACAGTGCCACGAAGATAGCGGAGAACCCGTTAAAGAGCTTGAAAATGAGTAGTGTGGGGTTGATGCATGAACTAACAAAGCTTATTAACCGCAAGACAAAAAATTACAGCGACGAGGGGCACAAACCAGCAGCAGCAGGAGCTCTGAAATAAGATGGCTGATGATAGCAACAAACAGCAACAACAACGGCCAACAGCAAAGATTGGCAGCCAATAGCGGCAAATCAAACGAGCTGATGAAGGACAAAGAAGCAGCAGCCACGTCCATTCATATGTATTACGTACAATATACAGGGTATATATAGACAACAGGAAACCCTATACAGAAGGAACAACTCAAAGGCTTCCATTGGAGGCAGGCTTGTTTCATCATCCACCATGATTTGTAGTGATCACTATCACTACTTCCGCAACTTCAATGGTGGGCAAATCTTCAACATAATGAGCTGAAAGACTCAAATAACATGTTGTGACCTCCAAATCAAAACATCTAAATCACCGCCAAAGCACATCGAAATAGAACTCCTCAACCATTAAAAAAAATCACGATTAGATGAATTATTATTGATTAATGTAACAAAAAGAGAAAAATGGAAGCAGTGCATACTAGAAATATAAGGAATTAAGTCACATGAATAATGGGAAAACAATGATGAAAGACAGAACTAAAGAATAGAAGAAGTGATCTGACAGAATAATTAGCGTAGTCTGCTTCATATACAATGGATGGAGGAGTTGTAATCAGTTGGTAAGCAGAAAACACATGGGTAAATATCATTCGTTGATAGTTTTTTGAATTTTTGGTTGCACCTTGATGTAGATTTGTGGACCATTTTCATACTTTTGACTGTTTCAAATTTCAACTCATTTAGTACATCTTTTATTGGTAGAAAGAGCATGAGATGAGGGCAAAGAGAGACTATAGGCATGAGAATCATATGTTAATTACATAAATGGCTAGGCCACCCCAATTACTCCTTATTTTCCTAAATCATTATCCAATTTAGAATTTCACTTTCAATACAAAGTGTACTAAAATCAATCCCAAACTAGACGATCATTTTCGGAACAGAGTGAGTACATCTTTTGGTTTCTAGGGAGGGGAAGGGACGAAGGGTTAGGGGTGGGTTATTGTTCTAGGGTTCAATTTGGGTGTTAAAAGACAAAAAATGCCAATTTTTTTGGTGGGGGGTGCGGGGTGTGGTTGAGAGCTATTGAAACATTTTGGCACTAAAACCGAACAATATATAGTCTTTAATCAACTACAATGAAAGGATCAAACTACCATCTAGTTTTTTTGGTGTTTAGATGAAAATTGCTTTCTCATTCCATATGAGAAAACCAAAAAAAATACCAAGATTTATTATGATCAGCTCTCAAATGTATGTAGCCGCAAAAGTGCTATCACAAAGTATATTTATAGGCATACATAGAAACAAAATACATAAGAGACAACAACGGACTTCAATAATTGCAACATGCTATAGCGTGGATTTAGTAATAGGAAGAAATGTAGCCTAAACCTATTAATATCTCTAAAAGATGATAATCAGAGAAGCAACTGAAGCCATGCTTCTAGGGTTCATAGAAAACGAAAGAGGGGAAATAATAATCTGTGTATTAATTTCCGGAAAAGTCTGTACAAAATGATTGTTTGTGCAACTATTTATACTTTACAGTATAACTGCCTTCCTTCTAGAATATGTACACTGAATTTACATCTATAACCCTATCTAAGTAACTAAATAAAGTTATATACAAAGGGCTAAAAGGGAAAACCATCAGCTGCATCTTCTAATACACAATCAAGTAAAACTGTACAATCATCGACTGAATTATATACAACTACTGCTACATTTTCATCCTGATAATCCTTCATGCTTCCCTCTAGCTTGATATTGTGGAGATCACAAAAGCGAAGCTTGGACAACAACACTTAAAATTGAGCAGCAGACAATGTTTTAGTATAGAGATCAGGAGACTGGTTGATGCGATCCTGGATGGCCCGTTGAGTGTTATACCTAATTATGATGATCATTACATTGATTGTGATCACATAAAGGGTGTATGATATCATACTGAGGTTGGAATTAAGGATTATGGAAGATTGAAGCCAAAATATGGTTCGCGTCAAGCTATAATCAAGTCGACAACAAAGTCAACAAGATCGCGTCGACATGATGGCCAAGCAAATGAGATACACGAGAAAGCTGACAAGGTGAGCGTCGATGTTTTTGCCGAGAAGAGTAAATAAACAAAGAAGTCGACAAGGTGCCATCGAGTTCATGGCCGAGCAAAGGAAGTTGACGGGAAGGTCGACAGTCTCACGTCGAGTGAAATATCTGTCGACGAACAAGTCGACGACGGTCGGGCAAAATTTTTAATTTTCCTATTTCGATTAGGAAAAGGATTTTTTCGTAATTTAACTATTATAGCCGACTCTCCTACACCTCTAGAAGATTCTAGATGGCTTTAAATAATTGTGACATGTGCAATTATTTATTTTTTATTATTTAAATCTATATTAGGAAACTTAGGTCGACAAATCTGATTTGAACTTGTATTCGGATTTCTTTTTGTCCAAGCCAACCTTACCTATAAATAGAGGGGGCTGGTCGACCAAAATTATATACTTTTGATGATTATTGATATTTCAATTTAAGACGAGAGGAAACTCTTTGTTCTTTTTCAATTCTTTTCGAAGATTAGTGCATTGCACACTTGTTTGTGCTTTGTTGATGCGTGCGC